ACTGGATTAGATGCCAGTCTTGCATGGGGGCATGAGGCTGGGGTACACACTGGATTAGATGCCAGTCTATCATGGGGTATAAGGCTGGGGTACACACTGGATTAGATGCCAGTCTATCATGGGGCATGAGGCTGGGGTACACACTGGATTAGATGCCAGTCTATCATGGGGCATGAGGCTGGGGTACACACTGGGTTTCGTTCTAGTATCGTTCTAATTTTTGGTCATGAATCTGGGTGAGAAAAAATAAAATGATAAAATATTATATGTGATTCCCCAACCTAACCTTCTTGATAATTATAGTTGCTAGGAAAGGTTTGTGAGCACTTTGTAATTATCTGGATTTTTGCAGGAATTGCTCCTAAAATATGATCTGATCTTCATATAAGTCATAATAAAAATATAGATATTTGAGGTCTTATGTAACAAAGCACACATTTTTATTAACATTTCTTTATTGAACAAATAGATGCACCTCTACCAAACACGATTATGAGCTTTTTAAGCCCAGTCCTCTATACAAAAGGTTCAATTCATGTATATTTATGGGATGCCTGCTTCAGATCAGGACACCGCGTTTCAGTGGCATTGAGGCTAGCACTCTGACTCGGCCATTATAAAATACTGAATCTCTTTTGTTTGACCTATTCTGTTGGTGATTTATTCCTGTGGATTGGATCATGGTCATATTGAATCACCAGACTTCTTTGGCATTTGAGATTGCAGATCAACCCCATCACATTCTGTTATAGAATTTTCTGATACAACTTCTTTGGCTCATTCAATGGTTCATCTGATTCAGTTCACTGGTCACTCAGTGATTGCAAACCATCTAGGCTCTAAAGCGCCTAAGCAGCCATTTCACTCCCTTCACCATCCTACTTAGTTGGCATAAGGTGTTGATGCCTGTTTTCAGTGTATTATTTTCCTTTCCCTTGTCTGTCCTGAGACCATTCGTCCAGCAATGCTGTGCATCATCCAGAGGTTTTTCTTTTTTTTTGAGAACAGTGGTTTCCTGTATGGTAACCTCCCCTGAATATCGCTCTTGTTCAGTGTTTTCTCACTGTTCACTTATGATCACAGATGTTATCTGGTGCTAGAGTCACTGGCAGATCATTAGCTGTCACCCAAGACAGTGAGGATTCTCCAGTGCGCCCTTGCACTGATCTTTGTCACATGCCCACCCCTAGTGGAGCTGAATTTCCTCTATTTGTAAACTATCTGCCTGACTGTGCCATGATCAAGGCCCCAGTCTTCAGAAATCATTTCTCTGAGATCACATCTGATTGGGCCATGTTACATAATTGTGTTGTGAATAGCAGGTAATCAGACTTGTGTGTTTTTTATATTATTGGGCAGGTCAAACAAAAAGCTGAAATGAGTGGAACATCTGTCATCAGTCACCTTCTTTTGAAGAGGTCATTATTTTTCGTCAATCAATGGCAGATAGACAAACAGACAAACACACAGACAGACTTCATTAATCTCAAAGGAAAATGCTGGATTGCAGTGGCTGAATACACACCTTTAGACATTAATAGACGATAACAATAAATAATCAACAACAATAAACAGTAACAGTGCAAAGAATGTCAGGGTTTTCAAGTGTTGCATGGAATTCTGTAGTAATGCCTAGTAAATATATATGTAGAAATATATATGTAGAAATATATATGTAGAAATAAATAGTAATTCGGAGTGGGTATGACCTTAATTGCTTAAAAAAGTAAACAGTAATGATATGGAAAATGTTCTGTACATTGTTTGGCAAATAAGGTTATATATCATATAGATCAGGGGTCGGCAGTCTTATCCAGAAAAGGCTGTTGCGTATGCGGGTTTTCGCTGCAACTCCCTAATTAGATTACTAATTAGAGGACTGATTGGCTGAAGAGTCCTCACACCTGGGTTTGAACAGCTGACCTAAAGGATATACCAACAACCTGCACACACACACACCGGCCCTTTGAGGATAAGATTGGCCACTGATGGATCAGACATTTCAGGAGCCATTTGTGCAGAAATCTAGAAAGTTCTGATATGTTCATAGACTTTTTCTTACATCTGGGCTCATTGATGTCCTCTAATATCTTCAAATGTAAGTCCACAAATCACCTTCTACTCACTGAAATGAAGTGGATCTCAGCTGTGCATGTGGAGTTGGTTCCTCTTTCCCAGTGTTTCCCAACATTGTCCTCAAAGAACCACAGACGGTCCACATTTTTGCTCCCTCCTAATTCCAAGAAGCTGAGAGGGAGCAAAAACATGGACTGTCTGCAGGTCCCCAAGGACCGGATTGGGTAGCACTGCTCTATCCTGTTTGCATGTTGTTTTTCTGTAAATACTCCTGCAGAATATACCTGTCTCAGTCTCTAACCACTCTCTCTCCTGCTCTCCTGTCTTCTGTGCTGCTGCTACTCTCTCTCTCTCTCTCACTCTCACTCTAGTATTCCCCATAGTCAGCGGCCCATATGGAGAAAAAGGTACATTTTAATTGCCTCTAATGTTGCACTGCTCTAACACTGGGCTCCGCACATATTTTGACAGTCACAGTTGTCTGAAAATACTGCTTTTTAAATAAACGCCGAACCCGATTTCTTTAGTGCTCTATTTTTCTGTTCTGGATCTTTTTTACTTCTAAGTCTTCCTGACATACAGGACTGTGTGTGGCTGTGTAGTTTGTCTGCTGTACTTTAATCCTCAGTACACTGACAGCAGTGTCCGTGTCTGTTATCTGCTACAGCATGCGGCTAAGTCAGGTGATAGATTAGGCTACTCTAACAGAAAGATAGATAGAAATGAAAAAATACTTCGGAAACACAGTTACGACAGGATTTCTCTCCCTTAGCCCCCCCCGCCCCCCCAGGGGCTCTGCCTCTCATCATTCAGGCAGGAGTTCCTTAATCAGGGAACAAGCTTCTACATAATATCAGGACTGCAGAGTCCAATTTCTGTCTAATCTTTTAGATCTGTACATTTAAGCTGTACCTCTGTCTCCAGAATTTATTTTCTCTCTTCAAATACTTCAGGTATTTTAAGTCTGCCAGGACAGAACATACTTTGTGTAACTAAAGTGTTTTCATCATCTCCTGTCTTGATCAGATAGTTCCATTCCTCTTCCATGTAGTTAGAAGTCTCTGCACCTAAAAATGAAATTGTGTAATTCAAAATCACATGTTACAAACCGGTCTTGTATCTTTACTTTGGTCATTTATACTTCTTACACTATTGTCCTTGTGAGTAGCCAAATAAGTAATATGGTAAAAAAGTAATGAATATTCAAAGACACTGTTAAAGAATGTGTGTGACCTTCTCATGTAAACATTCTGGGGAACATGTGACTGACTACGCTCTCTCTGATTGGTTTATTCCCGCAGCAAGGCTGAACGGCCGCCGTCACTCAACCTGTTCCCAAGCACCGAGGGGATGGTACGTGGGTGTCAGGGTGGGCCTAGGATGCTGCTGGGGCCTGACGTTTCGCAGGTCAGCAGCCACAGCCAGCCCCACATTGCCTCCAGTCGCAAGGTTTGACCGAATGGCTCCGTTTCTCTGGCTGGACAGGGTGGCACATTGCTCTCATCTTGTCAAGTCACGTACAACCCAACCTCCATACCCCAGAATGGCCTGCTTGTGTCATCTCGAGGAGTGCTGGGCTAGGACTCTGCCCTGATCCCTGCTTTTATTACTGGGGCGATTGTAGGATTTTTTTAAAGGTGGGCAGCATGGGGGAGGCTGTAATTCATCTAGATTGGTCAACCTTATCATTAGCCAATGACATGTTTTGAGTCGGTGAGTGACAGGTAAGGGGCTCTCCGGGGCCAATCAAATTTCAGCTGGGGCCAATGCCCCTGTGGCCCCGCCCCTGTATATACCCTGTCGTATTGCAGCCACTAAAATGCCCCTTAGTTTGGAGAGATGTGAAGGATGTACGGGCCCTTCCTTAATATAGCATAGCAGCCTAATGCAGAACTTAACTGTCTTCCATAAGGCAAAATGGAATTTCTTAATTTTGTTCTTCACACACATATTGAGTAAACCAACATATAGACATGCCTTGTTGCAGTAAAATATATGCCTTATCATATTTGAAAATGCTTAAATGCTTTAAATGCTTTTTTTTCACAATAAACAGCAGAAATTTGCACAAATACTTTTTGCTGAATGCAGGCTGCGGAATAAAGAATTGATAAAGCTTTATTTAATTTAGAGTCCATGTTGTTATACTTTAAAGTGAATCTGGACTTTAAGCGATGTTGCTCAATAAGGGTATATATTCCACTATCCACTGGGCTATTTGGGAAATAGTACAGAATATCTCACTGGTGTAGTAACCTGAAATACTGACATTGGCTTCCCTGTAATTAGGGAATATGATACAGACAGGATACACCCAGTGACTTTAAAATCATAAGACCCATAGTAAGTTTCTGGCACTACTGATTTTACTGAGGGTGTGAGAGCATCTTATACTGGATTGTCCACCTCTTCTCATTGCAGTGAAACTGAAATGCTATAGAAAATCTATGTATTTCATATTTAAAATTCTGAATTGTCCTCAATCCAAGTTCAAATATTATATTTTGAAAGTGAATATACTTAAATTTCAAATAATACTACTGAAAATGAAAAGCAAATACAGTACTTATTTAATATTCCTAGATGCATATTTGCTTGCTTTCTGCACTAAAGATATTCCACAGAGTGATTCTATGGAGAACTTGGCTAAGTTCAAAGGAATGACTCAAGCACGTACCCTGGGTCCATGCCGTGTCTCTGCTGACGTATGTGTTGTGTTGACTTTTTGTTAACTGTAGAAGTCAACATGGTTCTTTCAGTTTGTTTGTACATCAATGGGCTTGAACAAAAATGGTGGTACTGATAACAAAGCTAAAGTTATTTGTGGGTAAACTGTTAGGCAAACACAAATCCCAAATACGATACATGTACAAAATCCTGCCCTGCACAGACAAATTAGGCAGTGGCTGATTTCAGCTGAGAGGTTTAAAAGAATGATGATTTAAAAGAAAATCAAAACAAAACATTTCACTCAACTGAGTGGCCATATTGGGAAATGTCAAGGTATTCAGCCAGAGTTTAATGTGGAAATAATTTATTTGCTGGGACAGGTGCAAGAGGGGACAGTGCAAAGCAGGACAACAGCTGAGCAATCAGAGATGGGACAGTGCAAGACAAAAGGAAGTGAGGCAATACATACGCAATAAGCATTAAATAGGTGCTGCATCAGGGAAGGATGTGCAAATAGCCAGAATGGCAGTAGTAACTGTGACTAAGAGCACACCCAGAGGTAATATGTGAATTTATTAATGAGAAATACAATAGTGCCACCATTGACCGCCAGTGTTCGCAGTCTCGCACATCTGCACCCAGCTTTAATGTCTCTTCATCCACGTGCTGGAATGTGTGTCTTGTGTGTGCTGTTACCATGTTATGAGTCTTTGGTATTTACAGTATTTACTTGCTTTCACCTCCTTTTTTGTAACCTGACCTTCCACCACCTAGGATGATGAGTCTGAATCGGGCCAGTCCTCTGTGCCTGCCACTCCCAGCAGCCTTGGCACCAAGTCGAACACGCCCACCTCCTCTGTACCCTCAGCCACGGTGACGCCGCTCAACGAGTGCTTCCCGCCCCTGCCGGGCTTCGACGTGTCAGGCTTCGTGCATGGCAACAGCAGGACGAGGAGCACCAAGCGCCTAAGCAGGAACATGGAGGTGCAGGTCACTCAGGAAACCTGTAACGTCAGCATCGGTGAGCATCTGAGTCCCGGAAGCTCTTATGAGGAATCGTGCTCAGTTCACATGCCAACAGTATGTTTGTAGGGATCTGATGTTAAATATCAAGCATTACATTAATAGGAATGATCAGGAATGATAAGATAGTGGCATGGGGGATGTATCTGACTCCCATGTCCTATGTTTACAGGTATGGGCAGCAGTGATGAATGGTCTGAAATCCAGGAGATCTCAACTCCTGAGCTGGATATGTGCATGGATCCACACATTTATGGGGGCGGAGACAGGTACCAGCTCCCCAGGAGAGGTGTCCTTGGGAAACCACACGCTGTCATAATTCTTACTTACTTACGTACTTACTTTTTCAACTTGGAGCTGTTTATTAATGAATTTATTTTACTAGGCACAGTCTTACCCCGTCTGACGTATTTCTGGTTCTGCTCTGCCTCAGCACCTTCCAGGGCATCGTCAATGAGGCTTTCGGCATCAACACGGAATCTCTGTACCATGAGATCAAAGACGCCAAGTCTGACATCATAGGGGACGTGGATGCAGGGGCGGAGCTGCTCGGTATGTCGAGGACCTCTGTCACAGGGGTTGTGTTCAAGAGTGTGACATAAGAGGGTCTGCAGCCCGGTGTGCCACATAAGGGGGTCGTTATGACTGAGCTCAGAGTGCTGATGAACAGTGGGTGCGCTTTGGAATGGCAAAGGCGTTGTGTGGCTTTGGTGTGGCGCCTGAATGCTACAGGAGTGGCGGACATGCCGGTGAGCTGAGCCCGCCCAGCATCCATCTCAGAGCTTTCGCCATCGCAGTTTCCTGCCTCCTCAGGACATTTTATGATTTGTTTCATTTACTTTTAAGTGCTGTTCAAATCTCTGCCCTCAGTCCCCAAATGACAACAGTGTCTGCCTCCCTTTTCTCCCCTGCATGTGCCGCTGGACACGCCCACAGGGGAGTTCTCAGGTGTGTATCCCGCCCCCTGATTGGCTGGCATTTCTGTTGATATAAACTTCTGACACTTCCTGCTTTAGACAATGTTTTTTTCTAGTATAAATATTTTTTAAATCACCCACACTGCAAAAGTCCCAATTGATGAGTAGAAATATGTACAGATACCCTAAAATTACACCTGATGGAATATTCAGAACCTAGGTCTTCATTAAGACAATATCAAGTCTTTTTTTATACTGCAAATGTAGTTCAGGTCCAGAAAGTAAAAATCCAAACCAAGATTTTATTTCGATAAACCAGCTGAATCCACAGTCACAGTCAGAGTGCTCAACTGGTTAGTCTATAAATAATTATTATTTATTCTCTAGACCTGAACTATCCACCTCTGCAGTAAACATGTTAAATGGAGTAAAATCTGCCCTAAAACCAAAAAACCAAAAAGGCCAGGCAAAAAGAAATAGAACTGAAAAAGAAATTATTTTATAATAATAAAATAAATTATTGTGATAATGGAATATTATGAAGGATACATCCAGAATTTAATATTAGGTTCTGCTGGTCTGGCACTTGGTAAAGGAGATGTACCATGCCTGTGAGAAACATCCATCCATCCATCCATCCATCCATCATCCCACTGCAATTCTTAGTAAGGGTTGGGGGGGCCTGGAGCCCATCCCAGGCAGCGCTGGGCACGAGGCTGGGGCACACCCTGGATGGGATGTCAGCTGTGAAAAATATGTACGCGATAAATAATCTATACGATTCACACAAAAAATTCTGACTGAAAAGCAGCCAGACACCACAGACTGCAGTGTCATGCTGAGCCAGACCCCCTTCTCCCCACCCTGGTGTTCTGAAGCCCCAAGATATCAGAAAAATGTGCAAGATCCTCACATCTGCTCAGAAGCTCAAATTTCACCCTCATTCTCATTGTGCGGTTGTAGATATCCACATAGATGTCACTATTTAAGAGGTCTAATCATAACTGTCTCCATTTCACTTACGAATAAATATTTATCGGTATTGTTCTCTTTTTATCACGCCTCTCCCTGCCCCTGCCTTCCTCTTTAATCTCTCCACATCTCTGCTCCGCTGCTGGATTACATATTCAGCGCGTGATGATTACTTCGGTAAGGCACCAGGGCCTTATTCATCCTTCCAGTGCTCATCATCCAATCAGCTTGCTGCTCTCGTTGGCGCCGCCCTCCCTGCTTGCTCTTTGCCCCGCCCTTATCTTCCGCTCCTTGTACTGGCTGGTCAATGATGGCAGATTTTGCATACTTACTTTTGAGCAAACTGCTTCATGCTGTTGTTCATGTTGTTCACTGGCCTAATCTTTATTTCATTGTATTGTCTCATCATTGCTGACACATACTTAAAGAAAAATCTCAAAGAAAATGCAGCAAATAATTACAAAAATATTATGAAGTTATGCTACGTGACATGAGTGTTGTTGAATCAAAGGTATAGAGTTTATATTTGTATTTATTTTTAAATCACTGACATGCTGTAACAGAATGAAGGGATGAGTTATACATTCATTTGTGACGTCCTTGTAGCCCACAATCGATAGCCTCCCGCTTTCCTGAATGGGTTTCACCGAGGGTAAGAGACCCACCACTCATTAAACCCGTGACTGATGTATAAGTCAGCACATGGTGTTTGACCACCTGGACCAATCCGCTGGATCCTCTATTTACTAAAGCATGTCAAAGCTTTCCATTTGTATCTTTTGAGCTCTTAAAAAGATTACGTGTTTAATTTTTAACATTGCATTCATGTGCTCTTATGCACACTGAGTATATCTGAGCTCATATTCTTGTGTGTTAGACATTTTGTTGCTTTCTCTACAGACATTTTATCACAGATCTTTTTGCCAAAAGCATCATTATGTTTTTAATCAAGTGGACAGACGAATACACATAGAATAAAATTAAATGTCCTCTGACACGCCAAGCACTATGACTTTCAGGGGTCTGGGTGTAGCATTGGGGCTAAAATGATAGCTTGGCAGCAACTCTTCACAGGGCATTTGTGAATCTGTGATAATTCTGGTTCCTGATCCTATAGGGATGGGAAAGGAAGTGGAGAACCTTCTGTCGGAGAACAGACTACTCCTGGAGACCAAGTAAGGGGGGGGGGGTATACTATTGGGGGGGATGTTTGTAATGTATGGCAGGACCCTTACAAAGCCAATTGAAGAGTACATTTCCAAAACTTATTCAGTCCACAGGAAACAGTTTTGAAAGATTTTCTGTGAACTTGGTGAATGGAACTTTAAGGAGAACTGAGTTTTGGTTCCCAGTACTGTAACATATGATGAAGAAGCCAGACTTTAGGTCATTGGTGATCTTATCTCAAGAACGAAAAATGAACTGAGTTTTGGAAATTTGCTCTTCAACTTGTCCTTCCTGTTTACATGCAGAACTTGCCTGATTTTTACAGGAACGCCTTAAACATCGTGAAGAACGACCTGATTGCCAAGGTAGACGAGCTCTCCAGTGAACATGATGTCCTAAGGGAGGAGCTGGAGGCTGTCAAGCAGTCCAAGCTCAAAGTGGACACTAGGGTCAAGGAGCTGGAGGAGGAACTGAGGAGGTGAGAGCCTAGCTGGTTACACGTAGCAAATAGCCCTGTCTGAGACACCAACATGTACAATGGCTGACCAGAGTAATGTTCTCCCACAGGTTAAAAGCTGAGGCACTGGGAGCCGACTCAAAAGACGACAGAGGCGAGGATGTACGTTCTGGCCGTTCTGTACCATCAGTGACATATTGCCGTCTGACTCCATATTATTGCTGCCGTTTTCATTTCCTGCATCACCAGCAGCCAATACCCCATCCAGCATATCGCTCAGCTGAGTGACGTGTGGCCCCCTGTTCCCCGGCAGTACTCCTCTCCACTCCAGGACGATGTGCCCATGGCCCAGCGGAGGCGTTTCACTCGGCTGGAGATGGCACGGGTCCTCATGGAGCGCAACCAGTACAAGGAGCGGCTGATGGAGCTGCAGGAGGCGGTGCGCTGGACCGAGATGATCAGGCGAGCTGCTGTGCTGTGGCGGCACTTCTCACTGTGCACTCAGGCCCCATGGCTCACAGGCACCTCCGTGTGGAGGCAACTGGCACTGACACACATGCCCTTCCTGTTTTTGATCAGGGCTTCCAGGGAAAACAATCCCCAAATACAGGAGAAGAAGAAGTCCACGCTCTGGCAGTTGTGAGTTACTGTGGTGCCGCTTGAAGCCTCTCTTGTGTTATGATGATGGAAAAGGCTCCCTTTAGTCACTTAAATGGTAGTAACTCATTCATTTAAAAAGGACTGTTATAACTTGTTTATAATTACCTATTAATGATTTACAAAGGGTGACAACCTAATGAATAACCTTTATAAACCATTCATAAATCCATCATAAAGGTAGTCACTGTAAAGTGGTACCAAAAATGGAATTTAACAATGGAAATTCAAAGACCAAGGAATCTCAACATGTCCATACATGGACAAAATGCGTGTTGCCCCCTGATGAATTATGAAATAGTTATTTTGAGTATTATGAGATAGGTAGATGCATCCTTCATAATATTCCATCACAATAATAACCCGACACTTTTGGTTGTGGTACAGCCACAGAGAGGATCAGCCATAGAGAGGATCAGCTACAGAGAGGATTTTCAAAAGCATTTATTTAGCTGGAACTAAAAGACGCTCCGCATCCCATGTTTCCTGCCTTGCTGCAGCTTCGCCCGGCTCTTCAGTGCCTCCTCCAGTCCCCCACCCCCAAAGAGGCCCTACAACAGTGTCAGCATCCGCTACAAGTCGCCGTCACTGTCTGGACTCTCCCACCCACTGTGCCCAACCTCCAGCTCCAGCCGCACAGAGTTCTTCCCTGAAGAGTGAGTACCATCACCAGCCAGCAAGAGAGAGACATGCAGTATGTGAAAACTATAGTAAAACACGGTGTCCAAAATCAATAGTTTCCCATCAAAAGGCAAAATAAAAATTCCCTGAAGCATTCTATATGCAAAACAGTGTTCTGTATAGAAGCATAGGCCTCCAAATCTTTTGTTGTTGCTACATATGTTTTATGAAATGTCCCTTTCAAATAAATGGCAAATGGACTGCATTTATATAGCACTTTTCTACTCCTATGAGTACTCAAAGCGCTTTACAATTTATGCCTCACATTCACTCATCCACACACACATTCATACACCAGTAGCAGAGGCTGCCATGCAAGGCACCAACCTGCACACTGGGAGCAATTAGGGGTTCAGTGTCTTGTTCAAGGACACTTTGATGGGGACAGGAGGAAGCAGGGCTTGAACCTGCAACCCTCCAGTTGCTGAACAATAGCACTACTCCCTGTGCCACCATCTTCCCCTGTAAGAAAGTTCTAATCCTTCCACTGGAGTAGGCTCTTACTTTTATATCAGATCGGCTTTTGTTCATTTTGTTGATCAACATGGGTCAGCACATGGGTCAGCACATCCAAAAAGGCTTATTTTGTGGTCAATACCTGCAACTAGGGCTGCCACTAAGGACATTTTTCTATGGATTAATCTATCGACTATTTTAAGGTCGATTGGTTGATTGATCTAAACGATTATTTTTCATTCAGAAAATCAAAAGGACCATTTCATTTAAGTTAATTTTTTGACAAAAACTGTGTTATTGCAGGGCTTTACATAATGGCTTTTCAGCAATTCGATAATCAAATTAGTAGTATGCTTAAAATATTAATGAGAAGTGTATTGCGACGCCCAGGTGGTAGTAATCTTCTTAAATTTGGCATATCCTTACGCTTATAAACTCGGTTAGCGGAGCGCCCCATGCTATCGTTTTGGTAAATTATGGAAGCAATAAGCAATGAATTGGCGGTGAACCTAGGGTTAGCAACAGTATATCTTTTAAAATAGGAGATATCGAGGATAAACAAGGTGTTTGTGGTGTGGAAGTACTTTTTGCTGATTAAAGTCCAACGTTTTTTTTGTAGACATGGTTTTCCTTTTTTCAGTTCACGAATAATTTTCTTTTACTTAGTGTTCATTTTCGTTCCAGTTTTACTTCACGATAATGACACTGTTCCAAACTCCCAAAAAGCCCAATGCGCACGAACACACACCGTCAATCCACATAGAATAAGCCCCAGATTTTAGCCTAAACATTTTCTCAAACACTTATTCAATTGAGATTCTAATGTAGCAGGTAGACACCTTTATGGCTTCAACAATGAGTGTATTTAGCAGTTACAAGGACAAAAGATATTAGAAAACTCTCCGTACTAATGGTAATTTAATAAACATGAACAGACAACACTTATGGTGCTTTTGCCCGTTCTGGCCTCATGCGTAGCGCTAGTGCCCCTGAAGTATGCCATCGAACTTTGCACAGTGTAAAACCACCTTCTTATTTTTGGATAATTTGAACTACTCCCATAATTATGTAGTGATATTAAAGGAACCCATTTCTTATAATAAACGAAACTGTTTTAGAAATCATAATAGTAATTTAATTAAAATAATAATTTAAAAAAACACGTCAACATCATCGAATACATCGACTAGTTGTGGCAGCCCTACCTGCAACTATTAATGAAATGGTTTCTGTGGCATTTTTTCAACTTTGTGAAAACCTTTAGCGGTAGAAACAAACACTCCATGGATCAATAATACCTGCAAATTTTAATTAATTCATTAAATGAGGAAGTCTGTTTTCTTAAAAAACGTGCATGCTTAGTGATCCAGTCGCTGAAAAAACGCAGTTCCACCCAGTGGGTGTTCATGGAAAAGCCAATGAGGTCTGCTTCATTATCCTTAATTTAATTTCCTCCATGATGTTCTCCTCAGCATGGTATCTTCGGCCACGCAATTAACGAAGCTTCGACGGAGCACATAACATTAGTAAAGAGACACTAATGGCAAACAGGAGCTTTCTGTTTTTGGGGTATAACATGAGCTCCTGCATGGTCTGTCCCCCTTGCTATTCAAACAAAATGGCAGCAGCTAGCTGTGGTTGCTAAGGTTTTTCTTCAGCCTCTGCTGCCTTTCTTGTCTTCATGAAAAGTATGTAAATATGAAGGATCTGTAAATATGTTGCAGTTTAATTGTGCATTATGTGACCTTCGTTTAGAATCATTGCAAGCTAAGCATCCAACTAGGTTTTGAGGCCGAATAGCTCAGATGGGTAGAACATGAGACTCTTAATGTCAGGGTCATGGGTTTAAGCTCCATGTTGGATGATGTTGTTTGGTGTAGCGTTGTAAAATCTGTATTCATTATGGAGTTGATGCATGGGGGTGTATTTCTGCAACATCGTAGTTATTGGGATACTTAGTGTTGCTCCAGGGACTGGCTGACCCAGCAACGTATTTTGCTTTGGATAAAAGCGTCTACTAAAAAGTAGAAATGTACAGAGCCAAAGAACAGATTAAAAGCACAGTCACTGTCTAAGGTACCAGCAGTGGGGTGGACCCTTCCTCCAGCCGGTGATAACCCCACATGAGGATTGTTCTGGTGGTTCACTCTTGGCTTCCTGCACCTGACAGTCCTAGCGGTTCCTGCCTGTCATGGTGAGACCTGTAGATCACCTGGTCTCACGTGTCTTTGCAGCGGCTGCGTGCTGTCCGCCCGCAGAGAGCAGCGCCGCGAGCAGTACCGTCAGGTCCGCGAGCACATGCGCAGGGAGGACGGGCTCAGGCAGGCCTGCGGCTGGAGTGTGCCGCCCCGATTCAAACAGGTACCCCGCGGCCAGTCCACAATCCGCCATAGCTAGCCTAGGGGTGGGGGGTGTGGCTCAAGTAAGTGCCTGGGATGGACGGCAGACTGATGCCACCTCCAGCTCCCTGAGCGAGGCCCTTAGCCCCCAGCTACAGGGGTGCTTCTGCATGCTGGCTGGCCCTGCACTGTGACCCCCAAGCTTGCTCTCGTCTCTATTTGTGTCTGTATGATGGTGAAAACACAATTCCCCATGGGAATGAATAGACTGACTATTCTATTAATGCCCTGTGTTCTCTACACGCTTCCTGTTCTCAGTATCTGCAGTTCTCATTCTCCTTGTAAATTTGGCCTTACTTCAGCAGATTTGTGCACCACCAGCCGTGTCTGGATTGGACGAATGATCTAGCAGCTTTGTATACATTTACGGGCACACTTGTGGTGTCCAGGAAATGTTACACCCAAATGCTGATGACCTTCTGCTCTGCAGAACACCAACTAGACCAGCTCAAACACCAGACAGTCCTCAAAAGTATCGATGCAGATATTTCAAGATCAATTGCTGGACTCTCATCCTAAAGATTCAGTGTGAGTGGTACGATGCTGGCTGGTGTTTGGGAAGAAGGCCATTACTGCACAGCCGCAGTGCAAGCTTGCCCTTTCATGGTTTATTCATAATGCAGCCTTTCCAGTGACCAGCCAACCACTGAAGGACGGTCTCTCAACTTCCTGCCATTTACCTGAGGTTTTTACAGCTCCGTACCCACGATGAGCATTCAGCTACATTATAATCTCACTTTGGGAACCAAAATGCTATGATCTAAATAATTGTTCACTTTTGGACTGTGCTTTTGGTGAGGTTTTCCTATATGAATCTGTTTTTTAATGAGTTTGCTGAACTATTCAAAATGTTTCAGGGCATAGGAGAGTTTGCTTAATGGCAAAGAGAGGGCCCAGCTCCCCTCGGGCTGCCTCATGAGAAACCCCTCTCTGTAGGGCGTCTCAGAGCTCTGTGAGGTGCACCTGCTGCCTTATCTCCAAACTGTTCATGCATACCAGTCAGTCTCACCCCCTTCATGTGCTGCTGGGTCCCTGTCTGTTTTAGTGTGCCATGTATCACCATCAGTGTCCTGTATTAGCATCCCGCCTGAAATTAGTATTTCCTGGATAAATGCAGTAATACTCCATCCAGTTTATCTCTCTGTATGACCAACAGTAGTTTCTCTACCAACAGCTGAGTCCCAATGAGAAGGAGGACAACCGTGTGAAGAATGTGCCGGTTCCTGTGTACTGTCGCCCGCTAGTGGAGAAGGACCCCACTAGAAAGGCAATGAGAGTACTTCATTAGCTGCTCTTGCTCAATCCCCTTAGGGTGCAGGAGCATTTTAGCAAACTAAACATGTAATGTAAATGTTAGCCATTGGGTCAACTTTGTCGGTATTCCTTAGAATGGATATATTAGCAACCGGGACTGAGGAGCGTAACCTGTGCTGCTACATCCGCAGCTGTGGTGTGCAGCTGGGGTGGAGCTGACAGGCTGGAAGGGGAACCGGCATGAGCTCACAGCCAGCGGGGTGCAGCGGGGTACAGACCCCCTGATGGCCGAGGCCAATGGAGAAGAGAACAAAAGCAGCCACACGTCCCCCGAGAAGAAGAAGGTACCTTTAAGGTGGCTCCATCCTGCCTGCCTCAGTCTCGCTGAAGGAGCCTTGGTGACAAAACCACTCGGTCCTGCTACAGGAGCAACGCGAGACCGACTCCATGGGCAGCCGAGTCTGGATACTGACGAGCACGCACTCCGCCAGCAGCGTGGTCATCATCAACGCCAGCCGGCCGGGCTCCCTGGTCGACCAGTTCAATGTCTGCAATGCCCACATACTCTGCATATCCAGCGTGCCAGGTTACCCTTTCTCCCAGCCATTTAGAGTTGATCTTCATTACATTACTTCCTGTTTTCATTCCTCGGTATGTTTCTCCCACCCCTTCTGCCCTGCAGCTGCCAGCGACAGGGACTACCCAGCGGGGGAGATATTCCTGGAGCAAAGCGGCGGGGACCTAGAGAAGTCAGGGGGAATGGAGGACGTTCTGGCCGGCATAACCTTGGTGGGCTGCGCCACCAACTGCAGTGCAGTGCGGAGCAGCTGCTCGTCACGTACCGACACGCCGGTGCTGGACAAAGGGCAGGGTATGGATCGGTACTTTCTGGACCTGAACTTACCAGCTCTACATTTTGGCATGTTACAGACATGCTGTTAGTTGAACTAGGGTTATTAGTGTGGTTGGTTGGGGTCACAGTCTCTTTTTGGGGCCCCTGTTCCAGGCCCCATGGCTCCAGTGCTCAATGGCAAGGTGAATGTGTCCCAGCCCGCCGAAAAGGCCACTGAGGCAACAGAGGTGCCCGAGCCAGCTGCCCCCGGGGTGCAGGAGGCCGGGGGCCAGTCGAGGCCCTTCACTGAGCACGTCTTCACCGACCCCCCCATTGGCAGCACCACCGCTGGCAGGTGTGGAACGGTGCGTCCTACAGCAGGTTTTCATTATCTGTCACTCGGGAATTTAAACGGTGTGTGATCCTCGCAGGGAAACAGTACCACCGAAAGATGCCATGAACGGGACGGCCCATGAAGCAGAAGAAGGGGGCGGAGAATCCAGAGGCGGCACCAGTGCCGCCCCCACCATGTGGCTGGGAGCCCAAAATGGCTGGTTTGTTTTCTGTCTGACCACGTGAAACAGCAGATGGGGCAGCATCTTTGCATATGTATTTTATCAGGAGGTGTATACTGTTATGGGTCAGCTTGTTCAGCAAAATCTGTTAGGAAAGTGTTTCAGTATGAGCTGCTTCGCTGTATATTTAATACTGTGACACTGGACTATGGCCCATGTTAAACCGTAAATATACTATTATAGGTGCAATTCTCTTCTAATATATCCTCAGACATGTAGTATTGTTTCTTCTTTACATGACGGCATTTTTTGCATTGTCCTCTTTGACCACATGTTCATGTCACGGATTGATTAAAAATAAAAATGCACGAAACCCCCGCACTACCCTTTCCCTGCGATGGACCGGTGTCCCACCCAGGGTGTCTGCTGCCTCACGCCCTGCACTTCCTGGGATGGGCGCCAGGCCCACTGGGATATGCGATTAAGGAGGATGGATGGATCTTAACAATGGGACTTAATAGGAGAACAAAAGCACTGTGGTGCAGTACACAGCAAAGCCACGGAGATCAGGCAGAATAACATAATCGGATACAGGCAACTTACCTGAAACCAACACACAGTGCCACTTATGTAAAAATAATCCAGATTTACGGAAAAAATATCCCAAATACAAAGAGTTTATGAAGCTCTTATGCAAAATGGTGACGCACACCTGTAGGTAAATTTACACTTTCATTTATTTTAAATGTGCTCTTCAGTATGTATTACTGGTATATTTTTGGCTTACTCTTTTTTTATATAAGGCATCTGGAATAGTATGGGAAGGTAAATCCAACACATAAAATTTAACTTTCATGCGGGTTTGTGGAACAGAGTAGTCATGTCAGTCAGACCTGCCTGTAAATCATACCTGACAGCAAATCATAAATTTATGCTGAACCATAGGTGTTGTTAGGTCCGCTCACTCGGGGCTATAGCCCCAAGTATTTTAACCCCCATGTCAAAAAAAGTCAGCCCCAGGTAAACTTGACTTAACCTATGATGCTAATACAGTTCATACTGGTATTATGATAGTAGCCACTGTGTCAACACGTTATCAATTAGACTCTGTGGGCCAGCAATTCCTCTGTGACCCAAAACACTGTCTGTGCTCCTCCCCCAGGCTCTACGTTCACTCTGCCGTCTCCAACTGGAGGAAATGTCTGCATTCGATAAAACTAAAGGACTCTGTGCTCAGTCTTGTGTAGGTATTCCTTTCAACAAGAGCTCCCATAGAGCATATAAATGCAGCGTACTTGACCTAATCTAGACACACTCCTGTGTGGGCAATTTCTGAGCCACTTCAGTGACCCCCCACTGGTTTGATGTGAGTGGTACGACGTACTGTTGCTCTGCGTGACTCTGTGTTTCAGGCACGTGAGGGGCAGGCTGCTGGTGGCCCTGGCAGATGGGACACTCGCTATCTTCCACAGATCTGAAGGTACAAATCCAGAATTTCATCAGACGCACTAAAAGCAGCTCTGGTTCTGGCGGCACGTCCTGGTTTATGCGTTTTTGTGTAGATGGTCAGTGGGACTTGAGCAACTATCACTTGATGGACCTGGGTCGGCCACGCCAGTCCATCCGTTGCATGGCCGTGGTGTACGACAAGGTGTGGTGTGGCTACAAGAACAAGGTGCATGTCATCCAGCCCAAGACCATGCAGATCGAGGTGGGTCCCACTGTGTGTCTGCTTTTCTAGCTCGAGTTCAGGCCCAGTTACATACTTCACTGTGTATCTAAGGTATCAGCCACAATGACAATAGCAAATGTGCGAAGGCCAATGTCTCATCCCCGCTCTCAGAAATCGTTTGATGCGCACCCACGCAAGGAGAGTCAGGTTCGCCAGCTGGCTTGGATCGGGGACGGTGTATGGGTGTCCATCCGGCTAGACTCCACGCTACGGCTCTACCACGCCCATACCCACCAGCACCTGCAGGACGTGGACATCGAACCTTACGTCAGCAAGATGCTTGGTGAATGCTGCCAGCCTCCATGCCTGCTAGAGCAGCGCTCCTGACATGTGACCCGAAGGGACCTGACATGTGACACGACATGTGACACAGCATGTGATCTGACAGTTTTGCAATCAGCAACATATCATGGTAGGCCCTAGTGTTGATTATTGTCTTTTTTCTTAATCGGGCAGGTACAGGCAAGCTGGGCTTCTCCTTTGTGCGAATCACAGCGCTCCTGATTGCGGGGAACCGTCTGTGGGTGGGAACTGGGAACGGAGTGGTCATCTCTATTCCACTCACAGAGAGTAAGTGTGGGACTGGCCCTGGATCTCCATAGCACAAATGTAACCCATTTAAGCAATACATGAGACCTCCAGTGAAATATCATTCATCAAAAATGATTAAATCGTGGCTTAAATTGTAATTTGACACTAAACTTCCAAATTTGACACCAAACTACCCAACATCACCCAAGAGAAGTAGGATCCATTATGTCTATTATTTCCTTGCTTGCTTGGTTTCTTGCTTGTTCATCTAAACTTTCCCTAGTAATCTTTTGTTGGTTCCCCTAATTCCGGTTTCGGTACCATTTTCCTGCACAACCCTCTTTCCTGACTGCTCATGTATCACATCTCCCCATCCTCTCTGATCCATTGTTGTAAATACCCCCCTTCGTTTCACTTGTAGTCCTGTGTCCTTGTAGCTGTTTTTCTCCTTTGCTCACAGCCCTTATCTGCAGTGATCTTACACCATCTTTGTTACCCTATTTCCCCGTCTCTCTCTTTCTTGCCCACGTTGTCCTGTAGCTGTAGTCCTTCACCGGGGACAGCTGCTGGGATTAAGGGGTAAGTTGCCCCCCACCCCTACGATATCCTTCCTCTTGCTAATCCATATTGGACATATCTCTAAGTAGATCTCCACCTGTTTATCTGTGTATTTGTTTGTCTTAATTTTCTGACTGGAGATTTTTAGATCCCTTGTTTTTGATGCCACCATGTCATCCCCATGGTTCAGGAGTGTCACAGGCAAAGTCATTGTTTCTTTTTGTTCTATACTATCAAATGGGTCTCCTCAGCCTCTTTTTTGCCCCAGTTCTAGTCTCTTGCCCCCAAAATGGATCACGTGGCCCAGTGAGTCTCTTATTCTCTGTCATTCTGTTCCGCATGATCAGCTAACAAGGTGTCCCCGACCTCGTCCGGTGGCGTGATCCACGTGTACGCCGACAGCAGCTCAGAGAAGACCAGCGGCAGCTTCATCCCCTACTGCTCCATGGCTCAAGCACAGCTCTGTTTCCATGGACACCGTGATGCTGTCAAGTTCTTCGTCTCTGTTCCAGGTTTGTCGAGCACCATCAGTCCATAACTGAGACTTCCTCTCTGTTTTTGTGCTTTATTTTTAACAAAATTTCAGTTGACTCCTAGTTGACTCCTATTTCAGCACATTAACCCAAGAATTTTTTGCCAGTTTTTTACAAATTTCATAGCAAGTTATCCCCGTCATTGGAGTTTACACATACATACAGTGCAGGAAATGGAGGGCAAGTGTACATGTAGATGTACCTTCACTCCAGATTTAGTAGGTAGGTCAGCTTAAGTGAAAACCTGTTTCCTCATATAAATATTTTCCAGAGACAGCACTAATAACACAATAAAGGTCATTCAGCTTGTTTAGTAGCTCCAAAGGATTCTTGAGAAATTGTTTTTTTTTTTCCTGATATTTTTAATTCAATGAGTACAGCTGCATATGTAGAGACTGCTTATAAGATTTCCATGTACTTTTTAGCTCAACTTCCTGAAATATGGAATTTTCCTATGAATAGTTGTTTTTTGTGACTAATCACAATTTTGCGTGACATATCAAATAAATATATTTAAAAGAAATTAACCATATTGGAAATACTCAGCACCCTACTTCAAGAACAATCCATCCTGTTTATACAGGAAAGAGATCACCAATATTCCTTTAATGGTTGGTCACATAGGTTCAGTATTTAAAAGGTCACCATTTCTCTGTTCTAAACAAACAGGAATACAATTTATTGAGCTTACAGTATCACATATCCTTTTTCATAATTAGATGTACTATTGAAAGCAAGTCTTTGTCATACCAGTGAATCTTATCTGCTATTTATGGTGGGGAAAACACAACAGTATTATTCTGAGCGGAGTGGAGCGGTGAGAATTTCCGCTCCTCGCTCACAAGGCTGTTGGCTCCGCCCGCTCCTCCGCTCTAATTCGGACTAAGCCGCTCCGCGCAACACCGCTCCTCGCTCCACTAAAATTTCCTCCCGCTCCAGTCAATTAATCGCTCCCCGCTCGCTCCAGTTTAAAAGATCGAGGGACAAATAATCTGCATGTCTAACAAATGTCACCTTAAACCGAAGCCTTATATCATAAAGAAATATGAGCAACGCCAACATTGCCAGTCAGAACAGAAAATATTTATTTTTAAGCAACATACGGACAGGTTTGGCAATGGCATTGCACACAAAATAGGAAGGAATCAGTGGGCTTAATAGCCTAAAGAATATACGGGCACGTTTTAAATTACTCAATTTTTTTCTGTTAATGCTGCTGCTGAGTCATCTCTATAAAATAAAATTTCACTGACAGTGTTACGTGAAATTTTAAAAATCCTATTAGACCTACTTTGAATGACAAAACAAATTCATTTGATTACCAATATTTATTTTATAGGCTTTTATACTTTGATTTACTTTATAGACTTGATATGCTACATAACCATATAAAACTTGCTCGCGTTTTGCTCTGGCTTCCGCTTGTTCGCATAGCACACTCATGTTTCTGAGAAAAGTGATTCCAAAGTGAATCTTTATTCACTGAAACAGTTTCACCACATTGTTGTTCTTGCTCTACATTATTGTCATCTATACGTTTGATAAGAATAGTACACTTGTACGATTTATTAGTTTCCTTTGTGAAATACTTTGCAAATTCCATCTCGTTCCAATTTGTGTAACAGTCCTGATAATTGTACAGATGAATTCTGGGTAGATTTGGGCACCCCTCAGAATCGTAGTGTGAGCGGTATCGGAGCGAAATTGGAGCGAGACTGAGCGACCGCTCCAGCCTTAATTAAAAAACCGCTCCGCGCTCTGACCAAATTCCGCCCGCTCCGCTCCTCGCTCACGCTCTGCTCACATGCTCTGGTACAGACAATGAAATGCAGTAATCTAAATAGCAATGAGCCTTTTCGATATAAATATACAGTGATACCTCGGTTCTCAAACTCACTTGAACTCG